TATGCCGATTTTATAAAGAATATTTGAAAGATTTATTTTTTAAAATGAAGATATTTTCCTCTGCCGAAATGTTTCTTCGTTTATAGAGCGGAGCACTGTGCAAAGCCACAAAACTCCGCAAATTATATATAACCGCTTACAACGGAGTAAAGAATTTCAACTTCCCCAATATCTTGGAATATAATCATGGTCTGCGGCATCTAGTCATTGATGTACGTATAAAATCTTTTTACAATATTTTTTCATAAATATTTAAATAACTATTGTTTTCGTTATAGGTACAAAATGAAACAAATTTAGAGAAAGAGATGAAAGGGAAGTTCCCCAATAAATTATTTAATATAACATTAACTGGTCGAGCATTAAAGGATATAAACCTGGATATACTGCGAGTACGTAATTATAATCGAAATATATCACCTTTTGTAAAAATTAATTCAAAAAGAACTGAAGATCTCTGTATTTTTCTATTGATATATAACTTATCTAGAGATTTTTTAAAATTATAATTCGTTATTAATAAATTATAACTTGTACTACATTTAAATAAATTAAGAATTTTGATAAATTAATCTCGGTTATTATATTTTTTTCAGGGCATAAGAAATCCGCATTTGCACTTTGGAATGTACAACACGAGCGTAAGCACCGTGCCTAAGCAAATGTTTGAAAATGCAGAATGGGTAAGGAACGTGACGGTTCATCTTTACCAGAACGACGTGCGAACCCTTCACAATCCATCCAATGGATACAAGCCAGGCGTGCCAGGAAAACGATTTCTGCTGAAACTTACAGTAAGAGGAAGCTATTTCACTTGCGACTGTGACATCGGGTGAGTCATAAATTCCGTTCTTAGTTTATTTCTTGCGTTCAAATGTACATACTTTTCCTAATACTTTACAAACGACTACAAAATTTAATTATACTTCTTCAGTCATAATGAAATTTAACAAAGTTACATAGATATTTTAATTTACAATTCGGTACATATTATTTGGGATTTTACAAAAAAAAATATGCATAAAATTGTATCTATCTCTTTTATTTTATCTAAGCTATATTTTAAGTTTGTTAAATCTAAATAAAACATTTCAATCTAATTAATAAAGTGTTAAAAGTAATCTTTAATTTTTCAGTCTGATTGCAATTAATAATATACAAATTGCAATTAATAAATACATTTGTTTTAAAAAATGTTTGCAACACAAATAAGTCCTTTGTACATAGATGGATGGAAACATGGCAGAGAAAGCACAGGCAATATCAGGAAGATCGCTGCACTACCTATAGTGAATTTAAGAATTTCGAACGAGACGAGGAGGATGACGAATTCGATTGCTGGGATAATGGCTGGGACGATGATCTTCGTGAATCGTTTTGCTTAAACAAGAATAATATATCTGTTTTGGAAGCGTTGAAAACCGAACTCGAATGTGGATGGGGCGCTGGAAGTTACATTTATGCGCCTCATTATTTCATTCTTTTCTTTTTCATTATTTCCACAATGATTATCTCTTAGATTTTGCCTTCCGTGTACCTCGATTTTATTTGTTGAAGAACATCCATGATTTCCTTCCTCGTAATGTATAACCATTTAAAGTGCGAACTTGTTTACCAAAGCAAAAATAACCTCAATTTTATTCGCAAGAAATATATCGTGAATGTGATCATGTTTATTTGATGTTAGGAAACTATGTAAATGAATAGCAGTGGTGAGAATCAGTGTATTGTAACGTTCGTGTATAAGATATGTAACAATCATAATTTAATTATATTTACGATGTGTCATTACTAAGTACAGAATATTTACAGTAGTGTAGTTTGATTAAGTGATAAATTAAGTATATCGTGTTGATGTTATATTTATTTATCACCGCCGATGACAATTATTTATTAATGGATATGTATGTGATATAGTGATTAATTTGAATATGATCATATTCACGGTTGTTATTTGCGTTTATTACTTTCTCCGTACAATTATATTTAGTACTGAAAATTATTATAACCACTTTTTAAAATTCTATGGAAATTCCAAAAAATTTCTATTTCGTTTGCACTTTAATTAAGTGTATCAGAGGAAAACAAATTATTGCACATTCCTTCGTTTTTCTTCTAAAGCAGCACGCTTCGAATCAATGAGACTGTCGGATCAATTGTTCAGATACTCGTACAAAGTGACTATATAATTGCGGATTGAACGTGTACTAGAAAGACGCTCGATATGTTTCTTCTTTCGATCTGTAACACGTGTCCGTCGCATTGACAGGAATTGAAGTTTTACTCTGTTCGTAGCAGTTAGTTCTCTTTTTGCAATTGTATAAAACTCATCCAGTAGTAAATTTTTTTTTGTGCACGCTACGTCAGTACTATGAACTTGTGAATCAATCCAGAATAAGCATTTTTCTTCTTTGTTTGAAAAAAAGAAAATTAAATCTTATGAAATGAAATTTTTTTCATTCAAATATTGAAAATTGAATAGAAATTATTTTTAAGGTTGAAGACACGTATTTGTATATGTTCTTTATCTTATACAAAGAAAAAGTATTATCTATGCTTGGAATATCTTAATTAGATAGTGGAAACATATTTTAACATTTCCCTTAATCGTATGCAAATATATCCAAAACATCGTACGTTGGAAAAAATTAATAATCATTAAATGTACGTTTACAAAAGAAAAATAACAATAATTTGTAATTAAATCGGTAGCAGAAATTTTATATTATCTGTTTAAGAAACTGAAAGAATATTCACTTTCAAATATGTGCTGTCGATACATTTTTTAATAAAATCGCACCGAATATTATGATACATGTTCTTGTCATTGTTTATGACATTCCAACCTAAAAAGAATTATTAATTAAATAACTCATGTAACTTATTGAAAGAAAATAAGATAAGAATTTTAGAAATGTTTTTGAAATTTAAAGAGAAAATTATTTTTAAAACATATCATATGGAAAAAATTAAATATCTTTACTAGAAACATGAAATAAATTTAAAGATAAGAAAGTTGATTTGAAGATAAAATTATAAAAATTGTTAAATTAATAAGACGAGATACGAGTAAGTTTATTTAAAGGAATTTTTTAATTGTGCATGTGTAAACAATTCTCAATAATTGTACGACAAATTCATATAATAATCATTGTTTCTAATACCATCCAATTATACCTAAATGACCGTTATTGCGATTAATTGTAGAGCATGATCTTTGCTACTATATCAAATACCATGTGTACAATCGGGATGACAATAAAACCGAATATAAATATTAGACATACGTAAACACTGAATAATTCTGTTGTGAATACTAGACATCGAATCATCATCTGCCGGAAGTCCTTGCTGTTTCTTATGCTAATCACTTTGTCCAGAATGAATCGCAATAAGTATAGAAATACCTAAAAACATCATCATCTTTCTTTTCATATGTACATAAATATTTAAGTACTAAATTTTGTATAAATATTTAGACATTACAAATTTGAACAATAAAGTATTAAAAACTTTTTAATACCTTTTTCATTTAAATATTTTATTTCACGATTATTTTAAATTAAAAAGTTTTTAATTTTTATTATTTAGAAGAAATGTTTATGTAACCAATATAATTATCGGCTCAAAAATTTGGCAAAATTTTCTTTTACAAGTTCAATATATTTCGTGGAAAATTAAAATTAGTTTGAATGTATTATATTACTGTTCAAAATAATTAAGATACTATATATGGGGACAGTTTAAAAAATAAACAAAATATGTTGGCAATTTATACAGTATCTATGATAAAATAATGTTTCGTTAATTCATTAATTATTTTGAACAGTGAAATTTATCAAATAATTTATTTTAGATTATTATTTAACAGTACCTCCACAACAGGTATAATGTTCAGTAGGACATACAATAATGCAAGAAGAGATCGACCTGTTATTAGACCCATTGTACTAATAAGAGCCGAAAAAGAATATTCTGTTCTTGGAACGCCACAAGATTCCTGATAATTAACCAAGAACTCACGAATATTGTACAAGAAATTCTTCTTGGTTTCATCTATCAAAGGATCTTTGTAACGACTGTCTTTGTTATACAAATCGCGCAACAAATTCGTTGTAAAGTTATCTCCTTCAAAAGGAAAGTAGATTTAATATCTACCATATTAAGATATTTCTTTTTGATATAATTAGTCACTAAATTTTACAACAGATTTACCTGAGGTAAGATTATGACGATACCTATATTTCGATCGATCAAAATCGGAAACACAATAAGGATTTTTCCATTTCCATTCAGTAATTGTTGGTTCTTGTATATTATCTAAGGAATTTTTTACAAGTTTTTCATCGCATTTCCAATCGCCTGATTTCTGATTTAAAATGTTTCCATTTACTTTAGACTTCAATTTTTCATTGAGACGAGAACAAAGATGACATGGATTTACCATGCATCGTTTTCTTGATCCGCATGTTTCCCCTTCTAGGAACTAATGAATTGTACAATATATATTAACATACAATTGAAACATTTTTTTTTTTTTTAGTTAACTAATACAATTGAGGAACGCAAAAAGTAAGAAAAGAACAGAGAGAACAAAAAAAAAGAGAAAAAAATTTAAATATAGGTGAGGGGACATTTATTATATTTGGACTAATCTATTTTTCATTTACTTGTTGATTATGAAAAAGACATTTATTTTCCAGATGCCACTTCTCATTATAATCAGGCTTTGGTACAAAATCGAAACTATTCTGATTCTGTGAATCGTTCATATTCAAAGAGCAGGATACACGATTGATCGCAATTTGATCACCCTCGGTACACATTTTCGTGACTTTTCTTTCAATACGATGTACAATTTAACACCAGTTACAATTTCTCTCTTGGCGATAGTAATGGCGGCGAAAACATCAGTTAATTTTCATTTCTGTTCATCCTTACGGGGAGACGTTCACATTAAAAATGAAAATATGTGAAATTATCCGCCGCTCCTAACGTCACCTGACGACGTAGTATGTAATGTGTAATTCATTTAAAATCGTCTATTTTTGGTTCATACATACAGTTTTCTTATGTTCCTAAATTGTTGCGAAAATAAATGGCGCACGAATTACTCGATAGAACTTTATTTTATATATTGTCACGTGACTAACAATAAGACAGCCGACAACATGGAGCAGTTTCTCGAGGAAGCCGCCGATTACAAACGTTTATACAAATTCATTCCCGTGAGTTATATATATATAATATATATCGTATATATATTATTTATATATATAAGTTAGATACCATGCGTATCAGGATAAAACGTGATGTAAAAAGAAATTGAAAAAGGAAGTTACATACAAACTCGAAAAAAAAAAAAAAAAGAATTTAGCGATTATGATTCTGCATTTTCTCTTTTGCAATATATAAAATGTCCTGTGTACAACGCGACGACTAACGTCAAAGGGGGTGTTTCTCGGCTTTTCCTTGCAGCATCAAGTATCAACTATAGGATTTACTAAATCTACGATACGTATATCTCTACAAATTTCGACCGATCATTCTCGGTTCACTTTCACACCCATCACAGTCGCGCATCTCACTATTATTTCCAAGCTGTATGCATTTCACTATGCTGCATTTCTTTCTGCTTTTGTAAATAAAATTAACAAGATAAATCGCAGTAGTTCTGTGAAAGCCGATTTATAAGTGATATGAATATTCTGTTTTTATCGATTTAATGAAGTGCCGGAAAAGTGCAAGTTATCAAAATAACTCGACAAGACTCGTAAAGTGTTTTTGGTGAATTTTGGCGATCTTAAATAATATGAGGTGCAAGAAAGTTGCAAAGCACGTTATCGTAAAAATTTTGTATTACTTTTGTACAGCAATTCCAGTTCCCGCTTGCATGAGGAAAAAAACACATTGGAGGACAACGATCGATTGCGAGGTATTCTCGGTATCAGGGGACAATTTTAGATTTTTTTGTTTTAGATCATCTTACGAAAGCAGGGGTTCCCAGCATTTCCATGCGTTTGCACAAATTCCGAATAAATATTTCCACATAGCAGGGTAAAAGGAGAGAATCTTGAACTTCAAATTGGAGTTCAGTGGATTCTGAAAGACTGGGGGGAGATATCAAAGCTTTTATGCACATTTATAACATGCCGAAACCCTTTGAATAATTGATTGCTTTCAACAAACGATCTTGTAACTTCTCTATTGTACTGTAATCTGGCAACAGTAACACGTTATAGCATGTATGAGCTATTGGTAATCTAAAATATGAAATATGACATTAGTTATACGATTTGTTTTTCAATATTGTGTAATATTGAAAACTGTGAATCCATTTAAGAATGTTACCTATCAGAATCTGGACCATGTCTAGCAATAACCATCTTCAACCTTGACAAACCACCAACTGGCACTCTGTCACTTCCAGTTGTAAATTGCAAAAGTCTTCGTTGACTTTCGGGTGGTAATGAATGTGCAACACGCCAGAAATTACGTACCGCTTTACTGTTAACAGTATAACCACCTTCATATTCTGTAGTGGCCTCCAATTCCGCGAAATCAAAAACTTTGCTACCACAAACAAGCTATAAATAAAACATTAATTAGAAATAACTTCGGCAAAACAAAATATTAGAATTGTAAATAATATAAACAAACTTGTTCGATTTCTTCGGGTCTGAAAAGTAATGCAAGTGGACTTTCATCTGTGACCATTTGGAATCCACGCCTGAATGCCTTAAATTGTCTTTCTACCGATTTATTAAGTAAAAAGTCCGCATAAAGATCTATAAATTCTTTTTTGTTTTTTTGTGTTACAAATACCTCATCACCATTCTGTTTCAAATCGTGAAAAGATATCGAACCAAAGACGTCTCTGTAAAACATCATATAATATGTTGGTTATTATTTATGAAATATGGATTATTTAATAATTATTTATCTATTTATAAATTACTTGTAAGCCACTCTAAAAGTTTGCATAAATGTTTCTGGCATATCATCTCCAGTATAATCCATCAATTCCTTCAATGTTCGATATAATGTCGGGCTCCAATCTTCTAAATCAGCAAAGCATCCTTTTCTACCAAGTAATTTTCGATAAACCACCATGGAGAAACGAACATCTAATATTACGTTATTGTATATGGCTAGGCCAAGAACAACACCTATTAGCGTGAAATGTGCGTCACTTTCAAATGATGTTGGATTAAACCAAGTCATTTGTGTATCTTCCTACAAAAATTTGGCACACAATAGTACATATAATAGAAATTCTTTTCATTTTTAACTTTGTTTTCTTACTTTTTAATCAATGAAAATTAAGTTACCTGAGTTGTGAACATGCCATAATCAGGATTAAAAATTTCTTCTACAATCAATTGGAAGAATTCTTTGGAGACTCCACCCTCGTCAACACCTTGTTCACCTTCAAATTCAACGACTAATTGCTTCTTAAGATCAGATGGATTTTCCACCGCGATCATTTCCAATTCGACTAATGCATCATCTATTAAACGATCTCTCCTCACCTATTTTAAACAATTATTAATACCATCTATTGCAGAACTTAAAACACATACAAACCTTTAGTCTTAAATAGGGATTAGTAGGTTGTCCGACGAATGTCTGTAGGAAACTCATTCGACGTTCACTGTACATTCTGATGCGATTGTCATAATACAAGCCTAGTGTTTTTGTAGCAGGAGTGAGAATAAAAGCATAATTCATAAAACTAAATTTCATAGGTTCTTCACACTTATAATATGCAAAATCTTTGTCCATTTCTATCGCATCACTAAGTGGTTCATTATAAAAATCGGTAAAAGGTATAAATGGTTTTCGTGCATCCAGTGCAGTAATTCCTAATTCCTTGGCTAAAAGATCCTGCAAACACTTGTTATTATAGTTAAATGTTTATTTTTATGTAATACATATATTTTATACTTTATAATAATTTTAATCTCACTTGGGGAATTTGTGATGAAGATCTTCCAGATTTGTCATTACTTGTAGATTCAGCATCCTCGTCTATATTTAAGTCAGGTTCATCTAATTCACCAGCTAACATACTTGCATAGTATAAAATTTTCATAACTTTTGTAGGAGCAGTAATAGTATCTGCATCTTGAACGCAATAATCTCGCGTAAAAGAACCTCCTATTACCTGTTTAAATAAAAACTTGGATGTTTCACTATCAAACTTTTTACTTTCAACTAATAACTATACCTTAACAGTTATTAATTCTTGTAGAGCTTGTAAAATACTTGGCAGTCGAGATTTACAATGTTTAGCCCATACACGTGCTAGTTTAGCTTGTGCCACAATAGGGAAACAACTCAGTGCTTTACAAAGCATATGAAGAGCAAGTTCCAGATATTCACTGTTTCCAAGCATAGGAATTTCAAATACAATCAAGAATACATTTAACAAACTATCCATATTATCCCATGGCATAATACGAAATACTCTCAAGTCTAATTCAATATTATCTGCCAAAGTGACTAGTGCATTGACCAAAGCAGATTTGAACCCTTCACCTAAACATAAGAAAAAATAAAAAAACTAAGTATTTATTATTATTTAATATCTTTACTTTATAAAACAGCTTTTTACCTGGTAAGGACCAAAGAGCAGTAAAAGCTCTCCGTACTGCTGGTAAATCAACGCTGGTATCATCATTGTTAGGAACTGTAGGTGATGGCTCACTGCTGTCTTCTTCTTTGTCTTCTCCCTGAATAGATCGAATTGCTTCCTTATCCATATCACCAGGTGGCCTTAATAGACTATCCGAAGCTCTATCAAGAAGCGCAGCCAAGGGAGAGTCATTTTTTACAGTTTTTTGGAAACTAAGACTCAATGCCTTTGCACATGAAAATACCTCTCCTAATGTACGAATTAATAATGAGTAAGAGCCCTCTGATTTACATTTTTCTATTATATCCAGTAGTTTTGCTTCTGTAAGATATGGATCCTGTTTTCCTGTTAACAATAAGATAATCCCATACTTTCATCAAAATATTTATAAATAATTTAAAGTTACATGTAATAATACAAAGCCATTATAAAATATATTTAATTATGTTTACTATTAAATTAGAAATGAATAACAAGAAGTGAGAATTAAATATAATATTTATTAACATATACACAGCAGCCACACACAAGAATTTGTTAATCAAATATCACTAAATTTTTGTATACAACCATTCTGTTAAATGTATCATTTAAATATTTGAAATATGTTTTGTGTACCTTTCTTTTTCTAAGTATCTAAGATACAAATTGAGTATTAATAATTTTGTAGTAAAATGTGAACAATATTTTTTACCAGATCCTTTCTTGGAGGATAATTTTTTTGGAGCATTACTTTTACGTTTCTTATTTATTCTTCTTATTTTTGTTTTTTTATACTTCTTTTGCTTTTTACTCAAATTTTTATAATTTGGAATATGAATCTTATATCTATTTAATATCTTTAGAAATATTTCTTCGTCTGATATTAGTGATTTATTTGTAATACAATTGTCACAATTTGTTTTAAGAAATTGATGCAAGTAACCATCCCTATTCATTTTGATAGGAAATGAAATGTTTAATTTCTCTTTTAAAACTGGTTTTTCACAACTTTCCATATTATCTGACAATTTGCTTTTGGAAGAAATTTGAACACTGATATTTTTCAAAGTTTGAAATGTAGGAATCAAATCATTTGTATCAACAGATATATCCATTTTTACTGGGAATGTTAAAATGTCAGTAATTGAAGGAGCAGGATTTATGTTGGAATTTGATGCAATACCTTCATCCGAACATGTCGGATTCACACTTTTAACTGGTAAACTCTTAGCTAAAGACGCTGGACCAGGTTCTAATGTTGTTCGAGCAACTTTACTAGGTTGTGTACCATCACAAAGTCTTGCTTCTTGGGAAAATAATTGAATAGCCTGTGCTGCAGCTTGATTTGGAGTAAGATTTGTTACCTATTTAAAACATAAATTGCGTAAGCAATACAAATTTTTCAACAATAAAAAATATTGTGGTAGCTTTTAGTCACATACTTTGCCACTTGATGCACAGTTTTGATTGTCACAGTCAGGATTACCACATCCATCAGTTAATTGATAAAAATATCGCTCAATTAATTTTTTGGCAACTGCACGCTTCATGTCGCTGCAAGGGCTCTTTGCTCCTCCCCTAGTAATGTAATAACAGAATGTAGAGATTACAATATTGTAACAAATATTCTAAAACAAAATAAAGAGGAAAATTATATACAATAAATATATATTCAATATTTTGATATTTTTTATAATATTAAAATGTTCTTATAATATATAAAGATTAATTACAGATTTTAAGGATTATTAATATCTATGCATTTTAATTTCTGCAATCGGACTATTGTTAGAAGCTTGTATATAATCATAACCTAAAAAGTGTATGTATGTGTTTTATAGTGAGTTGTATACTTTTAAAGAAATATTAATTTCTAATATTTGTTTTTGTTGTTGTGATATTTTCAACGAAATTGTGCAAAAATTTGCTTTTCATTGACCACAAAAATAAAACTTTTTTTATAAAAACTTGGATATCAAATTAATCACTAATAGATCTAATACACTATCGAAGTAAACAAAGGAAATGACTTTAATTAAGTTAAATGTATTTTCCAATACTTGTAATACATTCAATTAAGAACATATGATCATGACATGATAACAATGATTCGCGACGTTGCCAGTTCAAGTGAGAATGACAGTTCAGAAAAGGATCAGTTTCTCGAGGTCGAAAAACGAATGGAGTCGTTGTACCAAAACAAAATGTGTTATAAATAGCTTAAGTTCGTAAATTCGTAACAATATTACGTTTCATGATATGTGTAAACAGATCTTTGTTCTAGAAGAAACAGTGATAACAAAAAGAGATGGGACGCAGCGATGAGAAAGTTCTAGAGAATAAGTGCTATAGAATACCGATATGCACCTGGAAGCGTGATCTTCTCCAGGGTCCCCTTGGCCCTTGGCGCTCATAGACTGTGTATCTTCGAAATTTTGCCTCCCTTTTTGTCGGTCGTAATAAGAAATCTCACCACGACCGCTTTTTCTACTTGTTCAGATTTTCGTTACCCACTTATACACTATCAGTAAATTTAGTCGGACTCTCTTATCGACAGTTCACCACGATGCTCGAGTTACGTTTTTCCGCGTATTACGCACTACTGTATACACTTCGGATTAGAATAGAAAAAGAAAGACAAAGTGAATAGATAGAAAAGTATTAGAAAGGAAGAGGGAGAGGGAAAAAGAGAGAAAGAGAACGTGGTGTGGTTTGTGCTCGAGGTATATTTGTCCGTAACTTGAAACGAATGTTCGATCGAGGTTAGGTGAACACCGTGAACGCGAACACACAATGTACAATGTCCGGTAATTGTGTAACTCGTCGATCTCGTAGATACACGAATTTTTCAAGTCAATGTTAGGACATCGAGACGAAGAAAAAAAATAACTGTTTTGCGGCTCCTTCTTGGCTGCTGTCTACTGTTCTGCACGGCCACGACCAGCTGCGACTATCGAGATTGTCGATTAATCGACCGTAATGATATTTTTCGATTTATCGATAAGTCAACGATGTGTAGCCTAGATCATGCGCCAAACAAGACTATTTTAATTTTTTTAACATTATTTTTTTGTTTGTATAGGTATTAATTTTCATAAATTTATATTAAATTTATTTAATATTAATATTACTAATAAAATATGTTTCAAAAAGCTTATTTGTAAATTAATATTAATATTAAGTTTAATATTAATAATACATATTTGACATTGGTTGAATTAATATGTCCGTTAAAGCGGGAAATATAAATGTTTCTTTCGAAATTACGCAGATATTTATTTTTCATTTTATTTGAATAATAAAATAATTTCATTTTATATGAATAATACAAAATGGAATAATATCAAAAAGGTGATTTATCTCAGTTTAGAACTTTAAATAATAAGACTTAATAATATAATTGAAACACTTTATTCGATTTAGTACAGTTGCACCTAGCGCACTCATTCAGCAGTTTCACGTTGTGTCGATAGAACTTCCTCTCTTAAAATTCCACTTTATATTCAACGAAAGGTATAAAACAAATTAGCCCACGACTTCGTCAGAGAAAACTTTCCTAACATACTCGATATTTTTTCTTGTATTTAAATTTTTAATTATTTAAAATACTCATACTGTCAACAAGGTCTTTCACAAGAGAAACAAAGGAGTTAGTACAATATCATTAGTACAATAAACAATAAACGGTATCATTAATACAATAAACAAATATTGTATGAAAACAATTTTTCTTAATAACAATTACTCATTATCATTTGTTTTTCTTTAACCAGGTATACACTTCCTATTATTTAAACACAAAGGAGAAAAATAATAGGTTAAACGTCTCTGCATAACATTGAAGAAACTCTTTGAAGCGAGGATTTAATAAATTACAATAATATAAATTTAATAAGGTATAACAATACAAATGTAATAAGGTACAACGATATAAATAAAATGATCGTCGATATTATTAACAATAATATATGTTAACGATATTCCATAAACAAATCACATCTGTTTTCGGTTTAACAAGAGATCACTATACTTCTAATTATTCAACTAACCAAAGAATAAAAATACGTTAGAAGATTCTACAACAGATGATGAAGCTTTTCAAAGGGAATATCGATTTCGTGCTAAATCTAGCATGCGTTATCATGGATGGCACCGAGTATAATTCCTTGGCCGATTTCGTGACAATGAGTAAACGAGGAACGAACCGAGAACCGTTGAGTGGGGGTAGGGAAGTGGAGGGGGAACAGTAACGGCTTCATTCGATATTTTCTATCGGTTCAGGGTGAATATAAAAGGGAAATTGAGCTTTCGGGACGAAACGAGGGACTGAAGCAAGCAGGAAACCATTAGTTCACAGGAAAAAGAGTGAAATTATCGATGCCGTGCAGTGCCATTTGGTCAGATATGCGAATAAAGCCGCACCTCTTGATTGTACGTTCTTATGTACATATGTGCAAACTGCGTTTCATTTGAATACGTTCTCGTCACTTTCTCTGTTAATTGCGATGTTTAACGCATGCGTCGAGCGAGAATTTTCGTGATTCACATTTTTCCGGACCGGTTAGCTTTGAGGAATGAAACGTGGTTAATACGAGTGTACAGTCGCTATTACTTTGGCGTTTAAAATTTTTCCAAATTTTTAGAAGCGGGAAAAGTGCGACTGTGTTCGTAGGGAACGATTTCATTAAAAATAAAGTTCCATTATTGAACATGTACAATGTAAATTACTTTTTTTCAGTATTGCTTTCTTCCTTCACTTTATATTATACAAGATGATTAGATATACAAATTCTGTGTATAATCAAAGTATTCTGTTCTTTGGAAATCTTCTCATCTGTATGTAGTATCCTACACTTGAATTCTAAGAAATTCTTTTCGAATAAAATTTAAAGAATTTTTTTAATCATATTTATTTTATACATTGTAACATAAATGTTGTACTTACGCAAAACAATTTTTCAGATATCATTTATTAAACATGGATAAATAATTCGCCTTGCAATAATAAAATTTAGTAAAGGTAAACAAAGCAGATTTAAAAGAAATATTTATGTTTATATTGCTTTACTTTTATCTGGAAGGAGAAGACATTGAGGAATTTTGTTTGAATTTCTTTGAACTTCTAGTTTCGCAATTGATTTTGCAATTGGTAAGATTTTTCCAAAAATTATTTTTACATAAATATGATTCTAAATTTGTAAATTAACAGAAGTTAATTATAATTGAAATTATTTATATACTATTCCAAACAGCCTATCCTTTGTAATCCCACAAGCTTTCTTCAACTATGTTCAGGATAGACAAACAAGAAGTGTGCCAATAGTCGAGTTATCATGTTTTTAAGTCGACAGTGTAATTTAAAGTTCTCGAGATCGCTCTCATAGCAGATAGCTCGGACCATTTAGCCGGATGATCGAGAGTCGCTGATTAGACAGAAATCGGTGCTCGTGTAAGTAAGGTGTCATCAGTAATTTGGTGCCAAGCCAACTATTCGAGATTTTTCGATGATATACACCTATATCTATCCTTGAAATATGTCAAAGGTTTGTAACAGTGTCTTTTGCCCAAAATCGGTGCAAAGGGAATATCAACCGATTCGACGTGCCCTCGAAACCTTTTAATAATTATCAAGAGATCGATATCTGATTTTCCTTTCGGCGATAAAGATTTTCTAGAAATCTAAAAGTTTAATCGAATCATAATTCAAATTACTTAAATGTACATGATATTTCTATGTACATAGTAAGTATATAAGAATCCCAATTAAAAACAATAATATTAATTCAAAAAAACAAATTAACGATATAATAACGACTCTCTATCACAGTTAACATTTTCCAGGCAGGAATTTGATAAAAATGCATGTCAAGCGGTTAATTTAGTACCTTTCTTCTCGATTTCGCAATTCTCGATTGTCCGACTCGTCAAACGTTGAAAATGCACGCCAGATAGCGGCCATTCGAAAGTTGTGCAGTATAATAGACTAACGGAGCAGACACGCCTGGCTGGAATCACGAGAGGAAATCATTAAACTCTCGCGAAGGTCTATTCAATCTTCGAACCAAAGACTCACTGGCACAGAAGAAAATATGCGATCTATCGATCTGACGGCTTGAATTTAATCTAACTGGGAGAAAAGCGTCCACCATCGACCTTTTTTTGATGCCAGCACAGCCCCGCGAGACAATCGTTGTCGTTATCGCGGACGAAAGCAGAACTCGGACCAGAATGAAGTAAACAGGCTTCTTTCTTCACAGTCGAAAAGCTGGAACTGGGGTGGCGAGCGCGATAGAGATCGGGAAGCAGAAAAGTACACGGATTTACAGGGACCAGGGATCGCTTGATAGGGGATGAAGCTTCCGCTTGGATGCGGCCGAGTTTCGATCAAGGCCAACTTTGCCATTCGTTTGTTACCCTTCACCCCTTCTATGCCTATCTATCTCTTTGTCCCTCCCTTTCTTTCCGTCTACCTTCTCTTCGTCACCCTATTTTTATTCTCATCTATTATTCGCTCCCTTTTTGTGATACTTTACGCTTTTCTCATCACTCTCACTGTTATCACTGCCTCCGTTCTCTCTGATTGTTCTACTCCTTTCTATTTCTTGTATCTCTATTAAATCGTCTCATACGTTTCACTTGCCCCATTGTGTTACTCGTAAAAGTGTCCATCTTATAATCGGTGTAAACAAATTGTGTCATCAAGGACTCTTCAGTTATCGTTTCACCGAATTGTACTAGTAAAGATTCTTCGAGGTTATTCGACTAAGTATTTAGATTTACACAACTATAAAGTAGTAAGAGCCCGTTTGGTGTAACTACAAGCTCGAGAAATACGGCTGCTTCTGATCTAGACACGTTCAAGCCAGCTGGTATTCATTCTAGGCTTGAGAAAGTAGGTGGAAAACATCCAACAGCAGCTCTGTAGTTGGGAGACCCTGTAAGGGGTAATATGGTTGAAATATCGAAAGTCTCTTTTAGTTCTACGGTCTGGGATCTAGACTTTGTGATCATGAGAAGAGAAACTGGGAAGATTAGAGTCTAGAGTTTTGGCTGAACCTTTTATTTGATGCCACGGTTTGAGTCTGTGATCTCAAGACCAGAGTCTGCTGAGCTTGAGCCTGTGGTTTTTAGGCTTTGATTTTAGAATTGTGGTCTAGGGTATCATCGTTTGAATCTAAAACCTTAAAACGATGGCGTTGAAACGTAGAGTTTGATATCTTGGGTTCGTAATTAATTTAAGATCTCGATGCTTGGATCTGTGCTTTAGACGTCATGGTCTATAGTCTTGATTTTGAAGTCTTGGATCTAGGTCTGAGAATTAGAATTTGAGGCGGTGTCTATAGAACCATGGCTGAGACCAGGACTCAATTTTAGATAAGTGATCTAATCCTCTGTCAATTGCTTTGATTTCGCTCCATTCGGTCTTATGATAACAGCTGTTCCGTCTTTCTTATTTTTAGACTGTCGTTATCTAGGTTCAGGTTTGAGGTGGCTATTGTTAGTATTCTCAGGAAATAGCTCTTGCTCTTATGTTAATGATCACTTTGAAAAGGTTTATCCACTGATAATTAGTACTTTTGGATTACCACTTGAATACGAGAGCTATGTTATTACGATATTTGAAGGGATTCAAATATTTTGAACAATTAAATTTATTGAATATATATTTAAAGTATTATGTATGAGGCATAATTATTCTTGTCGAAACTTATAAGACTTGTAGATATTTGATCTGTAAATATATTACATTTCATCGTCATTCTTCATGTTCGATTATCTTTCTTCTTTTCAGGATGAAAGTATCTTTCTCGGAATTTCCAGTCAAGAAATATGAAACACTAACATATAAGGACAACCACTGTAGCCAATGTTTTCTCTTTGCACACTATCGTTCCGGAAAACGTGACGGAAGACGCGAGGAAACAGAGAGTTGCCTTGGAAAC